GCGTCGTGCTGTGGGGAGCGTTCCTCTGGCTTGTTTCTGGGGCAGCAGAATACTTGGTCTGCTTTCCTATAGGGTTTTCCTAATGCGTTCTCTATACGTGCATTCAAATCAGCCTACTTCTGTCTGTTATTAAATGCAAATCTTAAATCGGAAACCCGCTTGAGAAGCTTAAAATGGGATTTAGAGCAGGGCCTGAATTCTGCTCTCAGGTAGTTTAAGTTGACCGAGAAACTTAAGTAACCTCTTCCAACTTAGTTGTGGCACTGGTGCGTAGCTTGTAGTGCTGCTGGGTCGTGCAGCGAGCTCTTCTTCCCCAGGGCAGCTTCAGACCCGGCTCAGCCTTGGTTCATGCCATAACCTGGAAAACTGTAACCCTCCCTGACCCAGGCAATCAGATTTTTGCTTATTCTTTGGTATGCCACCGACCTCTTCCCACTTTGCTTCGTGTCCCAGCAGCTTTGCCTTTAGTTCTGCTACGGATGCTGCACGTACCTGCCAGTCGGCAGGCTTCATGCTCCCATTAGCCTTCTGAAATGCAGACGTTAAGTGCCAGTTCTCAGCCAGGAAAGTGTTTCTGGCTTGGTTTCTGCTGGATGCCAGGGTGTCTGGGGTGGAGATGAGCCTGCTTATCTCCTTGCTCCCCTCAGCAGCCCTGGGGCCATAGGTCCAGCAGAGGTGGGCAGCATTTCCCTGGGCCAAACAAAGGTCGGTCTTATCTGAACACTGTGCTTCCCCGCCTTCTGCAGGAGGAGTTTATCTAAAGCCTGAGATGGCTGTTCCCAAAAGCATGCCTTTTGGGCAAAGAGGACAAAAGCCTGTCTAGGACAATTGGGGAGTGGCTGGATGGTGCTGGGTACCTGCTGATCCTTTCTTGATTGCGGTGGGGTAGCCCAGCACCGTGACTGCACCACATGCTGAGGAGTATTTCACCCCTTCTTGTCGGTACTGGAAGGCTGGGTCCTGGCTCCTCCTTTCCTGCAATGTGAACATCATTTTCTTTGCATATCTTTTTCTGTAGCTGCCCTCCGAGTTCCCCAGGGCCCGCGAGGGGCCTCCGGTGGAGGCTGCGTCAGTGGGACCCTCTCACGGGGTGGGTTTGTGCGGTGTGGACTGAGCAACCCTCACACAAGTCGCTGAGGAGCGAGGTACAGCGAGAGCTCGTGGCTGCGTGCTGCTCGCTGGAGTGGCACTGGTGGTCTTGGCCACAGAAGCAAGTGGCAGCGTCACCCACCACAGCTGTAATACATTTAAGAAACTTCGTAGTTTTAATTCACGTAGGGCATCAAACCGCGATGGTTGTGATCAGTGTAGAAGGCAGCTCGTTTTGGTAGATCCTATTCCATGATATTTTCACTGTGGATAAAACAGGTCTGATTTTAGGGTGGATGCTCAAGGTGAATGGCGGGAATCTGTGCGTGCAGCGTGGTGCAGACTGCAGCATCTGGGGGCTGCCCTCAGCAGCAAGGTGTCTGACAGCCGAGGCCAGCCCCGTTCACTCCAGCCCTCCTCCTCCTCCTCTGTCACTGGTTTTGATCATTCCAGTTTCAGCTGAAAGTAACCGTTTGCATTCGCATTGTTCTCCTCTTTGTGTTCTCAAAATGCAACGGGAGCTGATGCTGAACAAGCTCATCTGCTCTCCCTGCGTGATGGTGTCTGTCCCCGGCGAGAGCTCGCTGGTGCTGTGCCCAGCCGCTCCTGAGCACCGCTAACGAACTGCTGCCCGGCAGCATTTCGGACCTGGCAGGCAGGGATCAGGGGCACATCAGCAGCATCTCTGCGAGCCGTCAGTGAGCAGGGCTGTTGCACCAAGTTAGGTCTTGTCTCTTAGTACCGCTCAACTCGGATTTCACCATGCGGTAAAAGTGCCCTTACCCCGCTGGCCAGGAACAGGCGAGCAAGTCGAGGAAAAGGATAGCAGTTTCCTTTCTGAAACAACGTTGGTTTTGACTTCAGACTGTTTTCAGTGTAGTTTGTGAATCTTGACATGGACAAAAGCCATGGGGTGGGAAAAGCAAGGTCAGTTCCTCTTCTCGGCCGCAGCAGTGGGTGCAGCATCGCAGGGCCACCCCGTGGAGAGGTGACATCTTTTTGGGCAGCGTTGATTCTCCCTGGGGAGCAGTGAAGCCCTGAGGATGAACTGGATCACATCACCTCTGGCCAGATGTGTTAGTGTTTGCGTTTGCTCACCGTCAGCCCTGTTCTCCCTCCTGGGGGAGGCCGCTGCGGCTGGATTTAAGGAAGCTCCCAAGGAATGCGTCACAAATATACGTACAGAGCATGAGGAAGGACTTAGGAGACAAAGCAGGCTCTCAGCCCCCTTCCCTCGTGCCCTGTGTTCCCACGCAGGGGTAGATAACGTGATTAACACGAGAAGGTGCTGGGTTATCTCTCCCTCCCCTGCACCGAGTCCTCTGATACCACGCAGACCACGTTGCCACCTCCCATCTCTGCCGTGACCCACGCATTAGTGTCATCTTCCTTAGGTGCTGGATGAGGACTCCATGGGCTGCTGGTTCATATCCTGCTGATGCCAAATGAACATTCGAGCTGATTAAAACTATAAGTGGCATCAGTGGAGGGATTAAAAGCTCTTGAACAAGCCCCTGGAACAACGTGCGTCAATGGAGTGAGCTCTCCTGTC